ACGACGTTCGGACTGCGGGGGGGTGTTGAGTTGTAACGTTACTAGACTCCTGTACATGTACCTTTGTATGACGTGTTCTCTGTTGTAACCACATGACCTAGTCGCTAGGATAGTTGGCTAGTCCATCGGCACCACCTCCTCCAGATCCCTGCATGTAGGGATGAGTGGTAGCCTGCCTTGTGTATATATTTTCTTCCATGGAGTAACACGCACTGTGCAGATTCTCAACTTCCATCTGCAAATACTATGTTCTATTCATCGGCTCGCTAACAGTACTCTAGATATGCTCAGGATCGTATGTATAAAGAAACATGAGATGCCATGGGGTCTCAGCTGTGAACTTGAGGAGAGCTGGCACGGGCAGGAGCTCCTAATCGACGCCTTATATGCCGGTTAGGAGATTGGCGCTCACTAAGCTCCACAACTAGGTCGGCCCATTAACCACTAGTGGTGCAGTCCTCTCACCAAGCGTGTTTGGTTCGTTCGTCAACGTAGACTATTCGATGGTTGACCAGTTGACCAGTCAACATTGCCTCAACAAAAAAGAGTTGACCAGTCAACCATTGACTTCCCAAAAAATATAAATATAAAAATTTTAAATAAATCTTGAATTCAAAAAAGTCCATGGATTTTAAAAAAATTACACAAACTAAAAAAAGCATACCAATTTGCAAAAAACTTCATCAGTTTTGAAAAAAAGTTGAAAAATTTCAAAAAAAGTTCATCCAATCAAAAAACTATTCACTGATTTTGGAAAATAGTTCATCAAATTTGAAAAAAAATCACCAAATCTAAAACAATTTCATCGATTCTAAAAAATTTCTTCAAATATGAAAAAGTTCATCCATTCTAAAAAAGTTCATCGATTTTGAAAAAAGTTCATTGACTTTTTTAATAAGTTCGTCGATCCGGAAAAAAAGTTCAATGATTTTGAAACAAAGTTTGTTAATATGAAGAAAAAGTTCATGCATTTAGCAAAAAGAAAAAGAAAGAGAAAAAACAAACAAAACCGTCCAAGAAAAAGAAAAAAGAAAACAGGAAAGAAACAAGAAAAAGTTCTGCGAACGAAAGAGGGTAAGAGGTGAAAACAAAGTGAATAGGCACAATCAATCGAGATAGCCTAGTAGTTACTATCTACTCTGAACCTAGAGATCTCTAGTTCGAACCCGGGCTGGTCCAGCTTGCAAGAGGAGGGTGTGGTTCAGACGTTTGTTTGCAAAATAGCCTATAACGGGCGCTTGAATCACCAAACAGGGAAAAACCCTATTCGATGCGCGTCGTGTGAAACTGCCGGGGCTTCGCACAGGCGAAGCGACCGAGCGACGCAATGGGCCGGCCCATTTTGCGCACGTAGTTCACCTACAACATCATCTGGTTTTGGGAAACTTCTTCCCTGAATTGTTTTTTTCTTTTGTTTTTCATTTTTTTAATTTCATTTTTCTGTTTCTTTTTATTCTCCATTCTTCTTCTTCTTTCTTTTTTATTTTTTATTTTCTGTTTCTTTTTCCCTTTTCAAGTTTAATTTTTCTTTCTACATTTTATTTCACATTTTTGAACGTTGTTCACATATTTCAAAAAATGTCCAAATTTTCAAAAATGTTCGTGAGCTCAAATTTTCCCCATAAATTCAAAAAATGTTCAATTTTAAAATATTGTACGTGATTTTCAAAAAATGTTTCAGTTATTTTAAATTTGTTCTGAATATTTATGTTCAATTTTTCACAACTTTTATGAAAATGTTCAGAATTTAAAAGTTTGTTCACATTTTATCTTTTTATTCACAAAATGGTTGGGAATTTCAAAAAATGTTCTCACTAAAATGTGTTTACAAATTAAAAAAACATGTTTTTACAAAAAATCGCAGACTCAAAATATGTTTGAGGAATTTTAAAAATTGTTCTCATTTCCAAAAAATCATAAATTCGCAAAATGTTCTGTTTTCCAATTTTGGTCACATATAAAAAAACATGTTTTCTGAATTTTCTAGGAAATTGCGTTTTGATCAAATTGTTTGTAATTTCAAAAAATGTTTATATTTTGAAAAAAATTCTTCATTATTTTCAGAAAATCTTCCTGTTTTTCAAAAATGTAATAGTTTTGTAATAATTTGTTCACAAATTTGGAAAGTGTTCGCGTTTCATAGAACATTCCATTTTTTGAAAAATAAAATTGCATTCGAAATTCGCAAACTAATTAGGATCTGCACAGCGTGCCTAGTTCTTTAGGTCTAATGCTACTTTATTGTCAAATACGACTGCTATGTCAGTTGGTAGGAACAAATCAAATTCACTAGTTGAGGAGTACTCTTTACAAAGATCACCCGAACCTCCTCAGGTTGTGACAAGTGGCGCGTTGCATGTGTGTCACTTGTTGCAACCTGGTAGTTTTCTTCTTTTTCGTAGATTCGTTTATTCAAAATGTTACATCTCTTAAGCCGTGCGTCCAAATCTTGAACCGCTTTAATCATTGTATTTCTTGCATCGAGATCTTGAAAACAAGATCTCATGTTGATAGGTTTTGACGAACATTCATGAAAAAAATATACGAAAAAGCCGACCAGGAGCACGGGTTTTTCCCCTTTCCGAAAGAGGCACACTCGTGCCTCTCACGAAATCACAACCGCGCCTCTCGCAAAAGCAAAATTGTGACTCTCGCGGAAGGAAAAAAAAGAAAAAACACGTTTTTTCGTCTCCGAGGAGGCACGGCTGTGGCTCTCGCAAAAGCACAACCGTGCCTCTCGCGGAAGCAAAAATGTGACTCTCGCGAAAGAAAAAAAAAATAAAAAACGCGTTTTTTCCGTTTCTGAGAGACACGTCCATGACTCTCGCGGAAGCATAACCATACCTCTTGCGGAAGCAAAACCGTGACTTCGCAAAAGAAAAAAAAACAAAAAACATATTTTTTCCGTTTTTGAGAGGCACGACTATGCCTCTTGCTAAAGCACAACCGTGCCTCTCGCGGAAGCAAAACCGTGACTCTCGCGAAAAAAAAACAGAAAATGCGTTTTTTCCGTTCCGAGAGGCATGGCCGTGCCCCTCGCGAAAAAAAGATGAAAACATGTTTTTCGCGAGATTTTTTTTTTGTCGAAAAGCTAAGGAAGACCGGAGAAAAACCAAAACGTCGAAAAACCTTGAAGAAAAAACCATTTAAAAAGCCGAAAACTCATGCAAAAAAATAATCCGAAAGAAATGACCAGAACGCGACATGTGACGAATGGTTGAGAGTGCGTCAAGTGGCGCTGATCATTGCGAGGCTCCTGAAGGACGGGAGCTCCTATGCGCCGCTCCTTGCGGCAAACAGTCGGCCGCCCGCACAGGAGTGCTCCGACTGGGCCGGCCCATGTATAGTGCAAAAAAATCCCCAAAAAGAAGTACAAGTGCAGCGGCTAGGGATCGAACTCACGCCAGAAAATTGATTACGCGAGATGCTAGCCACCACACCAACTGGGAGTTCATGCTATTTTCCTGCGCGCACCGCTTTTAATATACTGTGATAGTATAACGTACAGGTTTGCAGGATCATATTTGTTGTAGCGTACAGATTTTTCAATTGTTGCACACATTTTAGAAAACACGAACAATTTTTTGGAAAATTTCAGATTTCGAAATAGTTTTTGAATTACATAAAAATAATTAGAATTACATGCAGTTTTTAAAATTTCAGAAGATTTTCGAGAAACAAGAAAAAATTTGCAAACATGTTTTTTTAATGACAAACATTTTTTGAAATGTTTCAAACATTTTCTGAAATGGAGAACAAATTTTAAAGAACAAACATTTTTTGAATCTTGAGAACAAATTTTGAAACGGAGAACAAATTTGGAAGCACGGACATTTTTTTAATCTTGAGAACAAATTTTGAAATGGAGAACAAATTTGGGAGCGCGAACAATTTTCTAAAGCACGAACATTTTTTAATCTTGAGAACTAATTTTACAACGGAGAACAATTTTGAAAAATCCCGAGAAAATTTGGAAGCGCGAACATATTTTGAAAGCACGAACATTTTTTTCATCTCAAGAACAAATTTTGAAAAATCCCGAACAAATTTGGAAGCACGAACATTTTATGAAAACGGGAACAAAAAATTGAAATCCGGTACATTTCTGCATTTCAAAACTTTGAACTATTTGTGTAACGAGAACAATGTTTGAATCTTGAGAACTTCTTTTGAAACCTCAACATTTTATGGAAACACGAACAAGATTTGAATATTTTGAAATTCTTTTGATAAAAAAAGAAGAAAAGGAAAGGATTAAGAAATAAAAAACCAAAAAAAGGAAAAAACAGAAAATCAGAAAAAGAAAAAAGAAAAAGAAATAATTAAAAACGAAAAGTAGAAGAAAAAAGAAAAAGAAAACTATAAAACAAAGGAAAAAGAAAAAGAGAAACAGAAAAAGAAGAAGAAGAATGGAAAAAACAGAATACACATGAAAAAACTGGGTTCATATTTGGGCGTACTTTGTAAAGCTCGAACTGGGCCGGCCCATCTCCTATCCCAAGCATGCTTGCCCTGTGCGAATCCCCGACACTTCGCCGCAGCGAGCGGCGAATAGGGTTTTCCCTGAAGGACCGCTCGTTAGTTGCTCTCGGAACAAGTCGTCTAGATCACGCGAGTTCTATGTTCGAATGCCCGCGATCGTATATATTTTTTGAGCAATGCGCCGGCACCCGGGGAGCGATGTCAGCATCCCTCCTGGGCTGATAGGTATGGGCTAGGCCCAACTGCCTTGCTACTGCAGGAGCTACCCACCGCAACGACTACAAGTACCAGGATCACGAACCCGGCACGGCGGCGGCTGTTACCATCCTTCTCCTACCTTCCTCCTTCCCCTTCTGCAAGATAGGACTCCATGAATCCTTGTACTGGTTGTAATAGCCATTGCTACTGAAGTACTTAGTAATCTTGATCGAGAGCTACGCCTTCCATCGCTACTCTTACACCTCCCCCGTGCAAATAAGCAGCCGCCGCCGAGTCTGCCTTGCCAATACTCTCTGGAGATGCAAAGCCTCCCATGGGCGATTATCCGAAGCGTCAGCAGAGTCGGCTCTGCTGCGCCTCGCTGGTGGCTTCCAGCTCTTGCCCGACGAGATGCCCCTCCACTCATGGAGTCAGCACCGTCTTATCCAAATCAACATCTCTATAAAATTTTCCGGTATGTTCTTGGCTCCTTTCGTTTCTTATTACCTTCGAACAGCG